TTTATAATTTCACGCTTCTTTCTTATTTTCACTGCATTATTGTCTGTCAAGTTGCTTCTATGTTATTCATTATGTCACCTGCCTTCTCCCTCCTTTCATCCTTTTCTTGCTACAGGACCAGCTCTTCTGTATCAACCACCACTGATGCCCCCAAGTAGAGGGTCGACACCCTCATCTTACCCCCGGTCCCACTAGCTCTAAAGCTTTGCTAAGTAATCTCTGTGACCTTTGTAATTTTTTCTCCTCCCTGTCTTTATCCATTCATCTTTCTTATCACTTACACCATCCCTTGCTAATTTCCTTCCCCATTGTTCTTCTAGTATCAGCCATGCTCGTTATGTTTGCCTCAAGACAAACATCTTCTCCTACACTGTCATCTAGTGCCTACAGAGCATCATGACAGATATTTAACAGTTTGTGCTGGAACCTCGATGCTTCTGAATCAGAAATATGGCCCCATTAACTCACTGTAGTGTAGTACCATTAACATATAGTTCATTTGTTTCCACGAGCAATATTTCTTATTTCTAATATTACAGAAAGGCATGTATGATGATTATGCAGTTGATTAGTGCTGCCACAGCAGTTAATGATGATGCCATTTTTGCCCAGTCTTTTTCTTATTGTTGAATCGTGAACACCTCAACTGAAGCAAGTGAGTCCTGCAGTCCTTCAGATGTTATTCTGGGTTCTTTTGTGACCTCTTGGATGAGTCAATGCACTGTTGGAGATTTTAGTGATCAGGTCTGGGTGTGGCTAGTGAAACTGAACATAGGGCCAGGTAGGTTTGGAGAGCTTTTCCCCCACTTAATAAATGAAATTACAATTTAAAAAGTGCATTTTTTTTTCTTTATTTACTCAGATTATATTGGTCTAATATTAAAACACTTTTTCATGGTACTGCATCGGTCTCCTACAGTTCTTCTATACCAGGGGTGTCCAACTCCAGGTCTCGAGGGCCGGTGTCCTGCAGGTTTTAGATCTCATCCTGAGTCAACACATCTGAATCAAATAGTTCATTACTGGACCTCTGGAGAACTTTACGACACGTTGAGGAGGTCATTTGGCCATTTAACTCAGCTGTGTTGGATCAAGGACACATCTAAACCCTGCAGGACACTGGCCCTCGAGGCCTGGAGTTGCCTAGCCCTGTTCTATACCTAGCCTCAAATCAGTGCAAACACAACCAATGCTATTGCCTTTGTGCACATGATGTACACATCACATAAGGTTATTTAACTTTTTAATTGCATTGTTAAATTAACAAACCAGTAGACTATGTTACAGTAAAGGCAGATTATCAGCAGGTAATCTAAGGAGACTGTCTTTAATTCTGTAATATCTGATCTCTATTACATTTGGTTTCAAATGTAACCAAAAGGTAGTTGATGTATGAACATACAGGAAGTAGAAGAGAATGAGAAATGAGTTCCATGTGTCTGGATAGGAAGGAACTTATGCTGCTCTATTTTCTTGCTTTCCCGTCTCATTTTCTCACACACACACTTTTGAAAAGGGCACACCACACAGCACAGTGAACATGTAGCCACAGTGGATACATAAACAAAAGCATTCATATGTTGTCATGCATCAATACAAGCATGCATTAGCTAATGCAGTATAAAGTCCACTTCACTGCAGGACCGGTGAGTAAACTGCTTGAGATTCGAAAAATGCAGAAAGTGGTGGGTGACCTTCATGCCTTACTCTAAGGGTAAGTTGTCGATCCATGCTCAAACTGCTGAGGTGATGTGCTGCTGCAAAAATAAAGGTGTTTTACCTACTGTACCTGCAATGATACGAAACCAGCCGGTGCACAGCTCCTCAGCCATCAGCAGCTCTCTCCATGGACCCCGCTGCTCTCACTCCAGCCAGGCAGAGGGATGAGAAGGAAGACAACGAACATGGACAACGACGGTTCACCGGAAAGAGAAGAAGGAGATGAGGATGAATATTTACCAAAGGCTACTGTATAACTAATAAACAAAGATCTTTGGAGAACACAAATTTACACTGATGCTGACAACTGCAAGTGTACTCGCGAAGCAATGCACGCAACCTGTGGAGAATAGTAATGGGGCACGGTAGCCTCAGCCTGCGAGTACAGATTTGTCAAGCACTGAAGGTCAACGTGTCCTATGAGAATGGTTTCATCGAATTCTGCCTAAGTTCTGCAGTGCAGAAGACAGCATACGCATCTTAATCATGCAACTGTTTCATCTGAATAACAAATTTTATTATTGTGATTTCCAACAGGGGAAAGATTCAGCATTTCAAAAATGTCTAAATTAACCTCTTTAGATTTGAGATACTGAACACTTTGACAGACACAGACTAACCAAAACTAATAAACTACAGTTTCAAGTTAAACTAGAAAGTACAAACATATATAGATATAAAAAGATGTGCAGAGTAAATTTGTCCATCATTTTAAAAATGGCCCCCAAACTTAATTAGCTACATTTTCTCTCTCTTCCAGTTTAAGTGGATCCAAATTGGCATGTGGCAATCTCAGGTGAACTGACAGGTTGAACTTGCTTCAAACTCCAAAAAAATGCACACGCTAGTGGTGCCACCTACTGGTCACTTAAACACAGTACTTTATTCTCCATAAAATACCTCTCCGACCCCTCTGCTCCACATAGACCTGCACCTGCATGGTGTGATCAGTCATAAAACATGAGCAGTAACAAGGTAACAAAGTAAGACACAATTATGAAACAATAGATCGACAAAAGGGATGCAGACGTGATCACATGCAGGCTCACACCTACAGTAATAGTTCCAGTAACAACAGCTGATCACACGAACATCAACAATTTCATTTTAAATGTTATGATTAAAATGGAGGTGACAGCACTGACACACTGCTGCAAAGTCCTGAGCCTTGTAAACTAGAGCAGAGAGGTCTGATAAGAGTTTGGATAAACAGTGCTGACTACTCAAATATAGACTATGAGCAAGAAAGCTCTTTCTGGCACATTTGGTTTACGTCCCAGATGGCAGCAAGCTGCAGAAGATACTTCTTCCTCAACCCTCTTCACCCCATCTATCCTTCCCACCACCCTCTGCACCGTTTCTGCTCTGTATGTGCATCTACCCCTACCCACTAACAAACACCTACCGCTTCCCTCCCTCTGACCTACTTTCTCGCCACCTTTGCTCATGCCTTTCGCCTGCTGGGTGCAGTATTGCTCTAAATCTGGGTATTATTCAAAAATGTCTCTGCATCTGCCTGAAGGTCCAAAACTGTCCACGCCACCAGCAAAAACCCACAAGAAAAATGCAAATGGGTCATCGCTGCTACTACACGGATAGAGCATAGAGGCTAGATTTAGTAGAAAACTGCTGTTCTTTTAGTCAAGCAAGAAACCGCTGGGAGAGGACGGTGAGGCTGAACTGCTTATCATACATCAAATATGTTCTAGTTCTATCGTCCACAGTAAACAAAAATATCAATCCTGCACATGTTGTTCTTTTCTCTGCATCAGCTGG